CCCCAAAACCCCAAAACCCCAAAACCCCATGGGGCCTAATTGCTCATTAAATATGATAATATAAATAACTTAAGAATAATTCTTTATAGATTAATCAGGCTAATTCTTTAATGTAATTTTTTTAAAAATCAATTCTAACAATATATACTTATAAATAGGGAAGAATGATTAATCTATAGATTATATTTTTCAGCGTTTTACTGGCATCTATATATGCTCAATATAGACCTTAACAATGCAATGGCGAGTTAAGAAGTGCTTTGAATGCCTCTGAAAGATGCAACGGTATTAATCATACTTAATTTTATTGACCTTTATAGATTGCCATTTTAGCTGCTTATCGAACTTATGCCTTAATTAGACTAAAGAAGGATGTTTAGGGTGCTAAGATAATAGGATGTTTTAAGACTTAAATAGTTTAGAGTGCAGAGTCTAATGTTAATCTAATTAGTATCCATTGAATTATACAGATCCTTAAAATCCAGAATTCATTCTCAAGTATTGCAGAGGTAAAACTTGTATTTTTGAATTCTTAGATAGAGAAATTTACGTTGATGGAACTCAGAAGGACACAGTGATTTAACTGGGCACTAAATCTCACCCTTACTCAATGCTTGACGATATTTTTAGAGAGACATTTAACAAATTATCAAAAATTTAAACTAACTTAACTATTTATGTCAAAGAGGGCAGCATAATAAATCTTTACTCTTAATCTATGCCTATTTTGATATTAAACTCAGACATAGAAATAAAGTAAGGAAATCTTAGATTTCATTTTTAACATTTTAATATTAGAACATACAATTTTAATAGCATTTCTAAAAATCAAACTAATACGTCATCTGATATAGGATTTGCAACATTTAATATTATTGAGGAGAGTTATGAATTTACTAGAGCCAATTCGGGCTTTAACCCAAGTATTTATCTTAATGGAAGTGTCATAGATTATGATATCAGCAGTAAATATCTTGATGGATAACTCGATTCTGTTGAAGCTACTGCAACTAAATATAAATTTCATGTCTACAGATCTAATCTTAAGTTTCAAGATATACTTTTCATTTAAAAAGACTAAAAGGTTTAACTTACTGATGATGCATTGGTGTCAGGATATACAAATCCATATCGTTGGATCAGTTTTATTCGATGCTAGTTCTCTCTATTAACATTTATCATTTTTACCAATTATGGAACTAACCTTTTAATATAAAATTCGGTCATAGACATTTCTTAGTAAGCTTTTGGAATATTTTCAAATTTTATGAACTGTGATGCTTATTGGAATGAGGGTTATTCTGGAAACTTGATTCTTGACTAAAACAAATTTATTGGATAGAATTCTGTAACATAAATTAGCTTGTTTGAAGCATCAAGTTATTCGAATTTCACTGTCATCGGGAATACATTTGAAAATGCTTTTTGGAGAAGTCAAGCTCGATCTTTTAGTTATGAAGCTTACGAAGTAAGATGTGGGGGACAAGATATAAATTATCATATAGATATCTCAAATAATACATTTATAAATACGGATGGTATAATGGAGTCCAATATTAACTTTAGGATAATTAATAAGTATGAACCTAATGTATATTTCAAATTCTACTATAATAACAATAGATATTTTAATGTCTCTTATGGTAGAGCAGGCTTAATTGGAGTTATCCTAAATGAATATGAAAATTTCGTAGTAGATATAATAAATAACTCCTACATCAATATCCTTAATATTTATGAGGACTCAAGCTTCATTGATATACAGGGATCTGCTATATAAGTGTAAAACTTGAAAATTCTCAATAGTTCAGTAACTAATGCAATAAAATTATCATCTTTAGATAATATGGAAATATCAAATTTAGAGATATTCAATGTAAAAGGAAACAATCTTATCTCTTAGAATAACTATATCCTAGAGATTCAAATCTCTGAAAATACTGAATTAAAAGATATCAAAATAGCAAATTGTGAACTTTCGAATGTTGGAATAATAGCAATTGAATAAGGAATTTAAGTGAAAATTAATAATATTTCGATCAATTAATCAAAAATAAATAATAATGGTTTTCATTTCTAATCTATAGAATATCTAACAATAAGTAATATTTATGTCTTTGATCTATAATTGGAAAAATAATCAAACTAGCTACAATTATTTGAGTTTGCCTAGATTTAGTAATCTAGATATATAAATGACATGAAAAATATAATAATAAGCGATGTGTTCCTTGAGAAATCATCTATACCATTACTTTTAATAGATAAAGTTTATTTTGAGGAAATTTTACAAATAAGAACTTTGATCTTGTAAAATTTGTTGCTGAAAAAGAATGATATTTCACAATCAAAATCTATGTTTGTATTGAAAAGTTTTAAATCTAATAATCTAAATGTTGAAATAAGAAATAGTAGCTTTTTTGAGAATAGCTTTGAGAATGGATATATGTTTTCATTCTAGTAAAACGGTAATACTGTGATTGTAACAAATAGCATATTCACCGAGAATTCTGGTTTATTTGCTTAACTTAATCCGTACATAGCATTTGATCTAAATATTCCCCAAACAGTTATTTTTAAAGAAAGTAACTTCACAAAAAACTATTGTAAAGAGAATGGACTTTTCCTTGTTCTTAGTAACACCTAGTTATTATTAGAAAAAAATATTTTTCTTGAAAATTATGGCATTGGCAGAGGCTCAGTATTGCTTGCAAAAAATAATAATTCTAATACAATTATAAAGAATACAAGTTTTATTTCAAACTACGCCTAAGTAGGTGGAGTAATTTTCACTTAGTATTAGAGTTAATTAAAGATTTATGACTCCCTTTTCTACTCTAATTTTGGATTGTATGGAGGGGTATTAAGCTTGTAAAATGATGCATCAGCTTATTTTGATAATTGTACATTTTAAGAAAACTATGCTCTTGTTGGGGGCATATTTTACATTTTTAACTCATAAGATTTTCTAAAGTTATCTAGTTGCTTGATTGAAAGAAATGGATTTGATAGTTAAAACCTTTATCAGTTTGAAGGTAACTATAACCGTTAAATAATAGGTAGAGCACTTCAATTTAATAGCATTTATAGATAAAGTATCCTAAAAAATTAAAATATGGAGCAGATATTAAATGCTTAGTTAAAGAAAGAAAGTTTATTTCAAATTATTGTTGTTAAAGGTTCAATTATTATTGAAAATAATACTTAAGTGAAAAATCAGAGTTCCTTAATATAAATCTAATCACTTTCAAAAGGATATTTTTCAGATGTGATATTTTCTGACACAATAAATTAATCAACATCTTAGTTAGTAATTGCTCAATCTTAAATTCAATTAAAAAACACGACTATTTATAAATCTTCAGCAAATTAATATTTAATTAAAGCTTCATCAGAATCCTATATTTCATTTGACTTAATCAATATATACTAATATAATGGGTTGCTCATTGAATTAAAAGATTCATCAATAGAGTTAAATAACTTGTCTTTAAAAACTGTTTCTAATTGATGCCAATTTGCATTTGTTAACACGAATCACGGTTCTATATCTATGAAGAACATTTCTATCAATAATTTAATAGATGATTATGGCAACTCAATTATGAATTTTGAAAATTCTAATATCTCAATTTAGACTTTTAACATTTAAAATACAAATTCTAACTTTATTAGAAGCTCAAATTCAGATATAATAATGAAAAATGGTATTATAACTGATATAATCAATGAGGGGAAAAGTGGATTAGCAGTGATATCATTCCTTTCTAATTTATTGATTAATAATCTTACTGCAGAAACCATTACAGGATATGAAGGCTCCGTTATTTATTTTCAAGGTTAAGTATCAAACCAGAAAAAATCAACTCTAAGAATTTCAAATTCAACTTTCATGCAGAATTTCGCAGTCTAAAAAGGTGCAGTGTTATCAATCAACAATTCTTTATTTTCTTTAAATAATTCTATATTTTTTGAAAATTATGCACTCTAAGATGGTGGAGCGATTCATTTAGACTGTTATTCATAAAATCAAGAAGGTAATAATTCTGTTTATCAAGTTATTTATAGATTGCTAGAGCACGATTATTAATAATACTTTTATCAATAATTCTGCTATTATCTAAGGAGGAGCCATCAATTATCATAATTAAAGACCTTAATTTCTAGATCTGAATAAATACAGAGATAATTAAGCCCAATATGGCTCAAACATTGCTTCGTATCCTTATAAAATAAAGATATTCTAAGAATAGAATTTTGACTTTAATTAACTAGTAAGCGGAAAAAAGTTGCCATTATTTTTGAAAGCTGGACTTTATGATTTTGATGATCAGCTTTATATATTAGATGATTAAACCTTTGCAAGTTTAAGAACAGATGATCTTAACATGAGTCTTTCAGGAAAGTTAAAAGTACAATCCTAAGGAGGAGTGTTTAATTTCGAGGAAATACAAATTTTTGGAAGACCTTAATATGAATCAAGCATTCTAATTGAAGCTTAATTTAAGGATAACTATAATAGGTTGACCTCAATTGCTTACTAAATAAATATTTAATTCAGAGAATGTTATATTGGTGAAGTATTAGAGAATAACTAATGCATTAAATGTGGTGTAGGAACTTTTTCATTCAATATTGATGATAGGAAATGCTTTTAATGTTTAAGTAATGCCGTCTGTTTTGGGGGTAATTAAATGCAGCTGAAAAAAGGATACTGGCGTAGTAATCCTAATTCAACTATCATCTATAAATGTTTTGATGAAAATGCATGCAAGTAAGTTCTTTTAGTTCTTATTAATTGATTCTTACCTTTTAATTAGAGGAGGATTGAATGTTTAGGATTAATGTAATGAAGGTTATGAAGGCAAGATTTGTAATATATGTAGCCATTTTTCTGATAAGATATTTTCTAAAACAAGTAAACATTCATGTTAAGAATGCTAGCCATTGTAACTGCAGATAATTATGATAATTCTTGTTTTACTTGGGATCGGCATATATATCGCTTACATGCTATAGTAATTTCTATTCATCATATTTATGACTTTAATTTAGCTCTCTATTCACTAACCCCAAAAGAAATAAGCCATAGACTGTTTTAATAAGAATTATTACAGGGTATTTCCAGGCTTTGATGATTTGCAAAGATTTCGAGTTGAAATGGCCTGAAAAAGTCAGTGAATCACTTTCCTATATCTCAATCTTTTCTACATCATAGAAAAATGCTCTGTCCTTTGACTGCATATTTCTATTTCTTGGATTTCATAGATCAAAAGCATTTTTCCTTAAAATCCTAATTTTTGGCATTTTACCTATCATTCTAAGTGCTATTGGTGCTATTATTTGGTTATTTATTTGGGTATTTAAGAGGAGAGTCAGCAATTTTCAAGTTATAGGAAAGATAAAAATAACTAGTTTCGTAATTATATTGCTCTTGTATCCAACTGTTACTACAATGATGTTTCAAATGTTTTAATGTTTTAAATATGAAGATGGCAAATCTTATCTACTATACAATATGGAAGTTGAATGTTGGGGAAATGAGCATTTTTAAATGTCAGCTTTTATTGGTGCCCCCTTTATCATTATTTGGTCCCTCCTCTTTCCAACTTATATCGTTTTAAAGTTAAAGAAAATAAAATATGATTTCAGTAATGATAGTAATCTAAAAGAATTCGGAATATTTTACATTGGTCTTAATGATTAAGCCTATGAATGGGAGATAATTATAGTTAATTTCAAGAAATTTTTATTCATTTTGGCTTCAACATTTATACCACAGTAAATAACAGTTTACAAGGTAATTACTTACAATAATATTATTTTTAGGCTATTTTTGGAATACTACCTCTCATTATTTAGGCATATCTCACTTCCAAAATCAAACCATATATAGATCCTAGATTTAATAGACTTGACTATCATGCTAGCTATGCTTGTGTAACAATCTATTATTGCAATAACTTATATATAGACAATGACGTTAATTTGTGGAATGTTCTATATGTCAGAAGAAGTTTAGCAAAATGAAAATCTATTGCTATTCTTTTTCATAGTGATAACATCGTATAACGGAGGTTTTCTATTTTATTGGACTTTCACCCTTGCTACTTCAATGATAAGATATCATGCTAATTTGTTCAATAGATTTCACGGAATAAAAATTTTCAAATCAAAGATTGATGATTATGAAACAAATTTGTAAAAGTATAAGGCTAGAGATTCAATATAGATGTTGTCAAAACTTTTCTAAAATAAATCAGATTAGCAAATATGTATTGACTAAAATAAAATTTCATTTGATTCTCAAAAGCAACCTTAGACATCTACTAAAAATAAAAGTTCATTAATAATTAATCCTAAGTATGGGATAAAATAACAATCTCTTGATTAGTTAAACAAGAAAACGTCTAGAATTTCAAGGAGAATTTCAATTTAAGATTAACTTACTAAGGAAAAGAATGAAACTTAATCTAAAAAATAAAGGAAAAAAAGATCTAATCTCGATAATAAAAACTCTCTATCAGCTCAATTTTAAAAAAATTAAATAACTGGTCAAATATTTAAATGACTAATGACTATATTAAAAAGTTTATTTTGGAAAAAATGACTTAAAAAGAGATTTTATTCAAGAAAATAATATCAATTCGATTAGAGAATAATTTCTTTCATTTTTTCAGTTTCTGTAAGAGATTATAGAATTAAAAATATAGATACTTTAAGAAAATAGAATAATGATAAGAATATATCCCTAATTTAGTTTATATTAAAAAATTACTAATAAAAGTCATATTATGTTACTAAAGGGGTTTTGGGGTTTTGGGGTTTTGGGG